TACTACTACAACTACCACTACCACTACCACTACGACGACGACTACTACTACTACTACTACTACTACTGCTACTGGTACTGCTACTGCTACTACTACTACTACTACTACTACTACTACTACTGCTTACTACTACTACTCCTCCTACTACTGCTACTACTATACTTCTGCTGCCACTACTACTGGTACTACTCCTGCTGCTACAGCTACGGCTGGTACTTGAAGAGACTTATGAAACAATGTCTGACTGCGAGGCTGCGAACCTTGTGATGCACCGCTTATGTGGCTCTTGGTAAGTACTGGGAATCCTGCAATCATCTCCCCTGGGGTGCTAAGGCGACAACAGCAACCATGACATCAGCAGTGGAAAGGACGTAAGCAGGAGAGTCCCAGACCCGATGGGCCACTTTCGGCTGGCAGAGTCCGCGTCATCATGGACTGGGTTGCCTGCAAACAGTGTCATTGATTGCCAAGGCATAACGAAGACGTTAGACAAGATAAATCCTGGTGCCGGCATCTTCGGTTCTCAGTCAAGCTTAATTGGCCAAGCTCTGGTAGGCGCTCCTAACTGCATAATCCTCATCATGGCTGGGCGCTTTTCCTCGTTCTACCTTGTCGCGATGCACCCTCTGGACTGAAAGTCCCTTGTAGTTGACGTCGGAGCACTCTGGATAAATTTAGCCTTGGGGCTCGTATGAGCTCGAGTAGCTTGGGTCGGCCAAGGGGTGGCATTGCCGGCATTGAAAGCTCGACCGCGTAGCCCACCCCCCCGCGAGTGCTTGGCCCGAGTGAGGAAGGGGTCCCAAGTCGTCCGGAAATTGTAGAACTCAGAGTCACGCCAATTCTCCTACACCGTCTATCCACGGCCAGGCCCACTGTTTCCCCAGACTTGCTCCTGGGCTTTCAGTGAGAAGCTGCAGTGCCCAAGTCATGGATTCTGAAACATTGTGAAGATGAGTCCACCAAAGCTCCTTTAAAGGAGAAGCAAACGGCTCCTTTGATCTCCTGCAGCTACTACGCCCCCTGGTCTTTTCGACCGGCTATGATGAGGTACGGAAAGAATGGCAGTGGCTGTGTGAGTGCTGCATGACAGGGCAGATGGCAAGAGTGAAAACTGTCGCGACGACTCTTGCCGTGCATGTCGTGCCGGCACTGGTGCGTTGAGCCTGCGTGTCTCTGTGTCTGTCTCTGTCTCTGTCTCTGTCTCTGTCTCTCTGTCTCTGTGTCTCTGTCTGTCTGTATTTTGTCACACACATACTTTCTTCGCATTCTAAACCTAGGGTCTGAGGATGAAGTTCTCTCCAGGAAACTAGCCTGTGGCCCGAAGCGAACGGCTCCGCGCAGGCAGCTGTGTTCCACGTCCAAGAAGAAGGCCGTGGAGATCGCATCGGGTATCAGTCCAGATGCAGGGTCCTTATTGCGATGACTCCATCAGCACTCAAAGCATGCAGCCCAGTGCAGCTGGCAGTCGCGACCATGACGATTTTCTTCGGAAAACTGATTCTCAACCGCCCATGAGAAAAGAATCGAGACTACTCGTCTTCGGCGAGGAGGCCAGCTGAACTTTCACTAAATCTCCCTTTCAGCAACTCGGAACTCTCTGCATAGATACTGCGCCTTAATCTGAGCGACGGCTGTGCATGCCCATCGGGCCCTGCCCAGCAGATTCTGACCGAAATCCGCAAAGTACCAATTGCTTGTCCATCCTGAATGCCCAACACGGCCTTCACAAAACTCTGAATTATAAATAGCACCATCCGCCTGCTGCTACAGCTGGAGACCTTTCCCGCCAAAGTGCGATAGATGGGCACATGCCCACGGGCGGGAGGTCACCCTCCTCGCCTGGCTCGCCGGGATAATTTAGCAGATAAGCAAAAGGACAAGCCGGCAAAGGAACTTGGCAATAAGTTGGGCTTATACTCCTACAGTATTAATGATGAGTAGGACTAGTAGCAGTAGCAGTTCATCAGCAGCCGTCATCTTCCTCCTCCGGCCGCGTGCTCCGAGCTCAGCAAGGGCTTTGGGAAGACGCGGCGCAGCGGCACGAAGTCTGGGTCCTCGAGGATGGCGCGCAAGACCGCCTCAAGCTCACAAGCCCTATAAATACATAACATAACATAACATAACATAACATAACATACATGCAAAGTCTATTTGTGCGACTAGAATAACCTGCTATTAGGCAACTGTAGCCCTGGGGACGGGGCAGAGATGTGAGTAAATGAAGGTGGTCTCTCGCGGGTTTGGGCACTGACTTGCGGCATTTTGGGGCTACACAAAGAGGTTGAAACAGTAATACCGTACTTCGTCTGAAGAAAAACACCAACAGCAGGACGCCGAGCTTCGTCGTCTGTTGGAAATGCAGGGTAAACTGCAGACACGTCCAGTGGCCTCCTGGGCTGCGCAGTTTGCAAAGACCAGTATCTTTGGAACTTTCCGACATGGTGGATTGAGAAAAACCGCCAGGCCGCCTCAGCGTCGCAGCATTTAGCCACGCAGCCGTTGCCTGTCCAGGGGCTTGGAGCATTGGGACTGTGCCTCGGAGCTCGAGATCACTATATACTTACACACATATATATATAATATTACAGTATTATATATATATAAACACACAGAGTTATTTTTGTTTATACATATGAAGTAATCATGTACTTGCATGAGCAAAGGAACAGCAACAAGGGACCTTTGACTCCTGAGCGGATGGGAGACCTTTACCCCTGGCCTCCTTGGCCAAACGATCCAAGCACCCGGTCTTTGGGCTGTAAATCTGCTCCTTGGCTCAAAGCAGCATGCAGCCTGGCACGGTTCGGAATCCGTTTCGGCAGCTAAAGCCCACAGCTAGCTATCTCGGTCTAGTCTGGGTCATCATTCATCATGCACTGCATCAACTAATTATCTTGTGCGGGTGTACGCCAGCAAGCACCGGTGCTTCGGAGTTTGTACGCGCTGCAGGCTCGACAAATCCTTTGTGTACGCCCTTGCATTGTATCCGGATTCCTGCGTAGCGAATACAAGTTGAATTGACTTGCAACTGCCGCCGCTTCCTACTCGTCCTGTCTGATTGCCAAGATGCGGTAATGGCATTGGACAGCTTCACCTGAAAGGAGGTCGCCTGGAATTCAGCCAAGCACTCCAAGTTAGCATGTCGGCATGCATGCATGGACTAGATAAGCAGGCTGGAAAGCCAACATAGATCTGTCAACCTGAAAAGGAGGAAGTGGCCATGCTGCACTGCCCCACATCAGAATTTTGCTTGCCCGATCGAAGGCATGCATGTATGCGGTGCAAGGGAAGCCTCTCGGCTGGCGCATGAGCCTTTGACCCTCAACACCCCCTCCAGAGCCACGATGAACCTAGCCCGGGAATGCTGCTCTTGCTCCTTAACATCCAACCAAATCCACACATCCCGAAATACCATTCCAACACCTCAAAACCTCGACACCGGGCAAGCTGCTTGCAGGATAAGTCCAATCATTCGAACGGAGTTGTCAGTCACATTACACTCCAGCATATGGAAGGTGAAGCCTTTAAGCCGCATCTATGTGATAGGGACACATTCTTAAAGTGAGAGCGATTCATCTTCATCTATGAAGCAGCTTTTCCTCCTGATGCCTACATCCTGGGATCCCGCATCCCCTGAAGCCTCTGACACGCAAAGTGGAGGTTTCCGAAAATAGGGGACCCTAATATAGTACCCTAAATAATAGGATCCTTATTAAATTATAAGGACCCCAAAATGAGGTACCCTAATTTTCGGAAAGTCCCAAGTCGCGTTCTGCAGGGGTCGAGGGAGCCGCGCCAGCCGCTGAAGGAGCAAATTGGCTCGCTCGGTGAGCTCTGGCCTCCTTAGATAGACAAAGAGGGTTTAGGGCTTTAGGGTTTTAGGGTTGTGGGGGTTTAGGGGTTTTAGGGTTTGTAGGGTTTTAGGGTTTAGGGGTTTAGGGGTTAAAAGGTTTAGGATTAAAGGATTTAGGGTAAAGAGAATGGGTGACCACTTTCTTTGCCGTATGAAGTCAAAAGCTATTGAGAACAAGAACCATAAAACATCTGTGTGTGTACATATATAGATATATATATATACATATTGAAGAATCTGTATACACAAGTAGACAAAACGTGCATCACGATCTTGAGCCACGGAAGCGACAAAGTCGGGGTATTGAGAGAACGTGTTGTTTTCACACATACATACATACATACATACATACATACATACATGCATGCATCCATGCATGCATATAGACAGACAGACAGCCAGACAGCCAGCCAGCCATGCAGACAGACAAATCGACAGACAGACAAACAAACCTACCTAATACATACATACATACATGCATGCATGCATGCATACATACATGCATGCATGCATACATACATACATACATACATACATACAGTTCGTGATGTTATTGTATGTCTTTAGGTCTGCTGTGCGCAAACTTCTTGTGCTGCCCGTAGTCATTGTTTCTAGTCACTAATTCATCTTGTTCGGGTGTGTGTCTCCTTTTTCATCCATTTCCTTCGAGGGCTTGGGGCTCATGCGGAGGTATCGGAATTCGGGCTCAGGCTTTCAGTTCGGAAATTCCGATTTTTCTGTCTTGGGATTTGAGATTTGCGGGCTTCGGAGCTTGTGCCGTCGGGCTTCGGGGTGCTGCAGCCCCGAAGTTTGGATTCCTGACCTCTGGAGATCGATCTTTACATGTGCCAAGCTTGTGGCCCTGGAGTAGACCTCCAGATTCTGTGGGTTTAGGCCGTGTGAAGAAGGCTTCTCTCGTGTTCCGCCTAGCTGGCTTGCCCGGTGCTTGGTGGACCTAGAAAAAAATCTTTTGCACATGGGCCTTAGTGTGGCCGCACCCTTAAACTCCTAATTCAGATTCTTGGCGCAGGGAATGGGGCCTCATTGCTCCCTGCGATGGCACGGCACTAGTGCCCTTTACTTGTCGAGAAGGGTTTCAGAGAGCGTGTGGAGCTCCTATGCTTTTAGCCGTGGATTACTGTCAGCTGAGCTGCTTCGACACTGACGCCAGCATCTCTGTTCGCCTCACCTGCCCAGAGAACACTTTACATGCATTTGCAACATCTGCGGCGTCAAGTGTTCCATTTCAGGTGTCAAGTGCACACGAAGTATGCCTGGTGCCAGTATGTATTTTCTGTTTCTTACGGAGGTTGCCAGGAAAATGCATTTTGCCGGCCCTTGCACGGTGAAGGACTATAGCTTCTAGAGCTTTTGCAACTCAGGAACAAGAAGCATGAGCTGTGCCGTCCACCTTGCCCCCCAAGAGCAGGAAGAGCTCGGACACCCTGTATTGTCGATGTCGCTAAACTATATAGTTACAACGAACTTGAATTAGGGAGATTGTATGGTGGTTCGGAGCCCCGAGCAAGACTTTCGAAAGCTGCATAGCCGAGGCTTCATTGAAAACCCCCCCTCAGCACATGAAGCAAAGGATGGTACCCGCAAGGCTGATGAAGCGATTCCATTCTGCCTCAGACCCTAACTCTAAACCCTCTATGCATTCTGACTCAGATCCTAACTCTAAACCCTATACAACCTCAAGCCTAACTTCCTAAAAACTCGCAGACCGGCGGAGCTCCAAGCGCCAAAAGGAAGCAAGCCAGCTGGCCTTGATGCTAACCCAGCCTGCGCAGGTCAATGTCGCATCAAGAAGCTTTCCAGGCTTCTCAAACTGTTTAGGTTGCTTTGGTTAGGTAATGAGCCCTATTTTAGCTCTTGTGGACCTACGATGTAGAGATCAGACCCGTTGGCAAACACTTCCGCCGGATCTTCATTGGTATGTCGAGGTCTGCACAGAACACCAGTGAATCCCTTGTTTTGGACTTCTTCCGCAAGCTCACATCTGCAGACTCGTGGCAGCGAGTCAGACATTTAAAACTACTCTGCAGCCCACTATGCACCGAAGTCCAGCCAAACACAAAAGCTCAATCCGATGCCTGCAGGTGGTCCAAAGCCGGAGAGAAGCTGATAGCCTCTCAGGCGTCTTGGTAAGGGGAATCCGCGGGTTTCGAAAAGGCGAAGTTTCTGAGATTTGGCGAGGACTGTTTGTTCCACACCGGCACGGCTGAAAGCCGCTCGTCATCGTTTTCGATCCGTTTGGCTTTGTCCAACACAGCTCAGGATGTTCACAGCATAGAGACAGAAAAGACAGGCGGAAAAAAAGCAAACCCGCAAGGTCCCTGTGTGTACTCAGAAGCATTCCATTGCAAACATCGAAGCGGCGCTATCAGATGTCTGAACTTTCCGGCCAGCATGATCGAAAATGACATCCGGCGCAGCCGAAGTGCAGAGCCGGTCGCCCTTTTCCGCAATTTCGCGGACGATCGAGCCAGTCGCGAGACGTTGGCGCAGCCTCGGCGCATAGCTGCTCGCGACATAGTGCATCGATCTCTGCCCCATTCTCACGGGAGTCTCACAGATGCTTGGTGCAACCAGCATATGAGCAAACTGCCACACTGGCGGAGTTTCTCCGAGCTGCTCTGGAGATTGCAAGCCTCAAGCATGGACTGACGGAACGCTTTGGTCTTGTCATGGTCCCCCCTTACAGCCTACTCTTCGGACCCTGGCAGTGACTGACCTTTGGACAGAAGGCTGAACCCGACGATCCGCACATCTCAGGGAAGGAGAGAAAGGATCAACCAGGGGTGTCCTGCCATGTGAATAGAACTCCGATGGATGATGCTCGGAAGCCACTTCGTGTAATATCTGCTTCAATGAACCTTGCTGTCCAACCACAACTGTTTGCAGTCATGCGACTTGCCCCCTCCCTGACGACGACGCCACCCTCTCGCGCGCCGCCCACCTGGTCATTAATTCATAGACACGTCGTACACCACTTTTGCCGTTTGGCCGGAAGCATCCCGGGTGCCTTGTAAGCATGTTGCTACTTTCGGGTCACAAGGTTCCTGAAGCCCAGACAGAATTGGAACACGTGATTCCCGAAGATGGTACTGGTACTGATTCATGCCATACCCAGTGAGCAGCACACGGAGGGGTTGCTGCATGCGGCAAATTGAATATGAATGCGTCGTGTACACATGCTTTCTGGGCAAGCACTGCGTTGCAGGAGTTCCGTTTGCACCCATCTACGTACAGTCGGGAACCGCCGAACAACATGCTCGATGTTTCCAGAGACATGCTCCACGTCGAAACATCTGAGGCCAAAGCCCCTCCTTCCCCTTCCCTCTGAACGCTTCGACTGCTATTAGTGCTTGGCAAAATATTACTATACCAACTCCTGCACCCTCACAAACTGCCCAATGCATGCGTGATCAAGCTCAGCACCGGATCTGCACGTACGGCACAGCAGCAAAACACGGTTGCTGGAAGGCTTAACACTACACTGGTTCTCAGCAACTTACTACTTCCGTTTTGCACAGCAGCTCTTGGTACTGCCAAGCCGCAACTTCCCACATGAGCACCTGCAAGCTCGGATATGCTCGGATGTGTCACAGGGAACTTCTGATGCCAATCGCTCCCATGCCGGACTTGCAGTGACATGGAAAGAACATCGGGGAAGGCGGGCCGCATCTCAGCTCCCCTGCTGCCTTCTTCCGCAACTTGTCGACAAACTCCTCTACCTGGCATCCGCAGGAATACGCGAATGCTTCGGAGTTGAGTGCCGAGAGGGGCTTTCTGGCACGGTGGACTAAAGTGTGTCTTGGAGACTGCTTATTCTTGACTGCTTTCTGCTGCTTCATACTTCATTCATATGCAACACGCCATAACACACACAGACACACAGACACACACGTGGTAATGTGTGCGTACACGTGCATGCATGTCAGAAGTGCTGGTGTGCGAGGGGCCTTTGAAGGCATGTCTACTGTACGACTTGGGAAGTGACTTGGGGCAACTGCGATGATCGGATCTTGGAAGCTGGGAATCCTCGTGGCAGGCCTAGAGCTGTTGATGAATTTGCGGCTCTGAGTGTGTCGATGCGCCGGTTTTCAAGGCTTGCGTTCGTGAAGCTTTGAGAAGCTTCAACACAAATGTTTCCACGGTTCATGGACCTCATCATGTTTGCGCATGGATGCTCTGGGCAATTGTGCCTACTGGTGGCATGGGCATTGTCATGTTTAGGGCATGGAAGCTCTGCTGGTCTGGCAAACGGATGCCCTGGTAACATGCACGTCATCATGGTTGGGCCATGAATGCTCCGGCCGAAGGATGCGCCGGTGGCATGGCCGTTGTCACTGGCAAGTTGGGCCATGGGTGCGCTGCCGAAGAGATGCGCTGAAAGCAGGAGCCCGCCCCGTACACAATATCTCCCATTTGCATGCATGCATGCATAAAGGCACGGCTTGTACATTGTGGCGCACCTCAGCTGAGACAGAACAATGAACAAAGACAAGCAGGGACGAACAAGCTTGCACAGACTGGATGCATGCCTGTGGCAATGAGGGCATAGTACACTGCTGATCTTCTCGCGTGCCTGCAGAACGCGAGGGTCGATCTGCGAGATGTCCAACGCTTGCTCGGCCTCCTGCAGCAAGCTTCCATTGATAGGAAGATGGGAGTCCAGTCCCCGATAAGGTTTCGATGGAGCTGGGAGGCCGGGAGCCTTTAATGTAGCTGTTTGATTGACCTCTCGGTAAGGAACTCCCTGCAGAGAGCTGCACTGGTGGAGTAGCAGCATGACCCTTTCGGATATATGTCGTTAACTTATCCAAGCGAAGCCTTGCATCCCGAAATGGTGAACTCTTCCAGCTCTGCGAGCTTCGTCGGCAGCGGTCAATAGTCTGAAAGCATTGAGGGGAAAAAGAAGCACTTCAACACCCACAAGTATCTGCTGGTAAGCGGTGAGGCGTAGGGTTCCAAGATTTACTCCGCTTTCCTTCGGCGCCCTTCCCAGCACTGGCCGGCTGTGGGAGCTGGGGGTCGCTTGGTTTCCGTTTCGGGTCCTGGATTGTGTTTAGAAGCTCCGAGCAAGGTTCCACCGAACCCGAGGTGTCGGTCCTTCTCCACAAGAGCGCCGGCACCTGCCGGGGTCTCGGGGTCTCAGACAATGACAAAGTAAGGGATGGCAGAACTATTGTCATTAATAGTCGTGATCTTGATAGGGACTATAGAAAATATGACAAGGATGATAGTACGCGCAACAACAGCAACGATTCTTTCTGCGTTCCGATTCCTGTCTGCCAGCCCTGCAAATGCTCTCGACGTCGCGAGATATTGCTCGTTATGAAAGGCACTCCACTGCGCTCCCCTGCAAGTGTCTTTGTAGATAAAGTTTCGGTACCGTATCGCAAAAACACTTCCGGTTTCGCCCAAGTTGCAAACAGCATTGCATGCTCTTCATCCAGCAGCTGTTGGACGAACACAGTCTACGGTCTAAAGGACGGCATAGACTCGTCCGTCGCTTGAGACTGGAGCCCGGCTACTCCAGCAACCTAGCAGTTCTGCACAAATGGGTCAGGATCCAAGTCACGTTCTCGAAATCGGGCGGCAATAATACTCACGATGACTGATAGCCTTGAATCAGACCAGAAACGAGCAGTCAACATGACCTTAATTACTCCATGACCTCTATGACTTCGAGCAAGCCTGCCATGGCGGTGGTGTGCAGTGGAAGGGGCAAAGCGGCAAAGCTACGGCATCTACTGGTGGCCAAGCTTGGAGTTTGGGGTGTGCTGGGAGTATCCTGGACTTCCGCACGTAGCCTTGCGAGCAGTTGATCTGATATTCATGCTAACAGGGACTTAGACGTCAAGCAAAGCCTGTAGAGAATGCATTCAACGTAACAGGCAGTTTCTTCCAAACTCAGGCGATAACTGCCTTGGTCCCTCGAGCCAGCACACTCATCAAGGTTCCATCTATGGACCCACGTGTACGACTCTTTGTGGCATGGAGGCTCTTATGTGCCAATAGATCGTCCTATCTGTCGATGCTCTTCGGATCGCAACGAACCACCAGGGTTAATGTAAGCTAGTGATAGTCTGCATGTGGCAAGGTTGAAATAACAATACTGACAGATAGGACGTGCAGCAGCAGTTACAATTGCAACGCACTGGACAAGTCTCACGGGGGAGGTGCAAGTCTTGCAACGTGGACCTACACTGCCTACACATCCAGAGAGGAGGTTTAGCTTAACTGCAAAAGGCTGAATACTGGGAACTTCAGGGCTCTGAGTGCCGAGACATGGGAGCAAGCATGAGCAAGCAGGTGTTTCTGCGCCGCAGAATGCAACGCACCGATCCGGCCAGGAAGGCTACACACTGTACATTGACGGAGGCCTCGAGATACTCAAAATAAGAGGGCCACCCAAAGAGTCTGTACAGGACATCCGAAACCGGACCTGGCATGTCGTGGCCAGACTCGATACAACAAGCGTAGCAAGCAAGACTGAGGACCGTGAAAGAGCCAAGAAGTATCGCCAGATCCGGCCGGATGTCTGAATTGGATGCTCGTGCCTGATCTGCTCCTACAGCTTGTCAAGGTAGTCCGTCAAAGACGGCATCTCCACTTTCAGGCTCTTCCGCTTACGGATGCCCAGGACCAGCTCCTCCATCTTGCTGCCCTTCTCGAGGCAGTTGCCTGGCAGGCTTTCCCAGTGGTCGAAGACAGACTGTGGGAATGCCTGGCCGCTGGTCGCCTGGCGCAGTGCGGCGACGAAGCCAAACGATTCCGACACCGGCAGGTAAGCCTTGACCTGGACCAGTGGCGTGCCCTCACGCGGATTCTCCTCGAAGATGCAGCCTCGCCGAAGAGACATGCAGCTGTAGACACCACTAAGGACATCCTTCGGGGTCGTGATCTCCACCAAGAAGACTGGCTCTTGCAGCGTAGGCGAACCGGTCAACTCGGAGGCAAAGCAGCAGCGCCTCGTGGCCGGCATGATCTGTCCTGCCCCACGGTGAACCTTGTCGGAGTGGAGGAGGACCTCTGAGAGGTTGAAGCGGACACCCCGCAGGCTCTCTTCACACAGAGGACCCTCTTTCGTGACCCACTGGAAGGCATTCACCACATGATCTTTGACCTCGCCCAAGTACTGCGCCGCTATCGTGGTGTCCACGAAGACGTTGGGGCCGTCGCCAGAAGGACCATAGCACCAGATCTTGGACTGAGCCACCTGCTTGTCCCAACCAAACTGGGTCAAGATCTTGGTCCTCTCCTTCGCATCTGCGTATGGCCCGGCTGTGCCATCCTCGACGGCACGCACGACTTCTTCGGCCAAGGGTTCTGCTGCAACGTACAAACGATTCAGCCGATTGGGCGACTTCGCCAGGCACACATGCTTGGACGGGGCTGACACCGTTTCCCGGTACGAGACGACTGGGTCTGACACCGTGAAGTCACACTGAGCAAACTCCTCTCGAAGGTCTTTGAGGCAAATCTCCACGTGCAGTTCACCACAGCCGGCGATCACGTGCTCCCCGCTCTCGTCGACGGAGCAGACGACCAGCTGGTCAGACTTGGACAGCTTCTTGAGCCCCTCGACCAGCTTCGGGAGATCCCT